AAATGAACACTTAACGGAAGTTAACGCCGCGCAACCGACGGAGGACCTTCATAGAAGATTCGCTCGCCTCGAATCGGCGATTGCACTTCTCGGTTCGGGGAGAGAGAGAGAAAAAAAAAAAAAAAAAAAAAGAAAAAAAAAAAGGAAAAATTCGGTCCTCACCACGCGATGTCATTCTTGTAATAGCCGGTGCTATGATCTTCCGTGATATGGTACTGTACTTTCTTTAATATGAGATCGACTACAGTCCTAGCATCTTCCACGGAGTCGTGTTGCGGTGTTTGTTGTATGTCCTTTCGTAGCAGCACCCTAGCCAACGTTTTCAGGCTGCTGCGGAACGGGTAGCCTAGATAGTGCGGGTAGACGACACACGTGTCGACGACGGTTGTGTGTAGCATCCTTAACGCGCGGAGATCGTTCTCGAGCGCGTGGCCAACGAGTATGGTCTCGGCGTGGATGAAGCTAGTCAAGTCCCTCTGAACGTCCCTGAGCGTTTTCGTTACGTTGGCGAGATCGTCGGCGGTGATGCCGCTGAATTTCGTGTTGTAGTCGATCACCTGGTCGTACGGTTTCACCAGCGTGTCGTACACGACGTTGCCGCCCATGTCGACGACGGTGATCTTGACGAGGTCGAGGCCACGCTGGGTGAAGCACATCTCGCAGTCGAGAGCGTAGATGCCGTAGTTGCCATCCTCGGGCACGATCCTCGACACCTTGGTGCGAACGTAGCCGTTGTACGGGCCGTTGAAACCCGGCGTCAACCCCGTCCACACGTGCTTCTTGGCGGTGGTGCAGCCGGGTTCGCCGTATTCGCCGCGGCAACAGTCCCACACGCGGTTCTGCATATAATTGGCGCCCTCGTTGCGCAACTTGCCCCAATGATAAGTGCATTCCTCCTCGGAGAGGTAGCTGCCGTTCTCGAGGTTCACGTAGTACAATTTCTCACACCTGGCGCATTTCCTCTCAACGATGTTGTTAACAAGCTCGGTGGCCGAGCTCCTCCTCGACTGGCAAGCGAAGTCAGAGGAGCACGTTGATTCACCATTGTCCGAGCTCTTGTCGCTGTCCGAGCAACTCTCTTGCTCCAGGTCCGAGCTTCCGCTGCTGTTCCCACTGTCCGCTTCGCTCTCGGCCGTGGCAACGCTGTTACCACCACCAGGCACGAACTCTCGCGCGTTCGCGTCCAGGTGATAATGCTGGCGAGTTGTCTGCCGATGTTTCTTCAACGGGAAGTGATTGATGATCATCACCGAGCCGGGATAGTAGCTGCACTCCATCGGATAGCCCAAGCGAGCCAGGTGCTCCCACGTGAGCGTGTACGAGCGAAGTATGGACGCGAGATCGGCGTCGCTTAGCAGCCACAGCTCTTTCCTCAGCTCGCTTAGAAAACCGCCGGACGACGACGACGACGACAACGACGACGACGACGCGGCAACCGCCGACGCCATCACGTTGACATTGTTCACATGCTCGTAATGCAAGTTACTTGGAACCTGGTAGCTTTCACTCTGCATTCTCAACTGCCAAATATTCGATTCGGCGGCATGATCTCGACGATCATGTTGCTGGTGTTGTCGTTGTTGGCCTTCGTCGTGAGGCTCGCGTCGCTGCTCCCGTGGATTTTTCGTCCGGTTCTTTCGTTGTCGTCGACTCAAGCTCGCTCGGTCCTCTTTCGTTGATTGAGACGACAACGACGGGCTTCTTGATTGAGCGGCGACCGACATCGTCGTCGGCGATGAAATCGTGCAGCTTTTGCTTCCCGATGGCGTCGCCTTTGCTAATGCCTGATTTCTCTTACACTCGTATTGCTTCCCAGGCTGCAACATTCTTGCTCCCAACAGCATGCCGCAATCTTTATGTCACATATAAAAACACAGATATATATATACGTCAGTTCATCGTCCGACAGCGAGACTTAAAAATGGTCACCTACTGTTATACTGTTAAAGGGTTTGCCACACACCACGCGCATGCATCTCTGTCCTTTCTTTCTTTCTTTCTTTCCTTCTTTCTTTCTTTCTTTCTTTCTTTCTTTCTTTCTTTCTTTCTTTCTTTC